AAAACGCCTAAAGACTCTAATTTTCAAGTGGAAATAAAGGAATTATTCATATTTTTTCTTCAAATATTTCTAATGCAAATAACATGCTTTTCACAATGTATTTCCCTCTTCAGTCATCACAATTCTCAGGCATTATGTAAGCTGCACTGTATTCCTTGCTACACAGTTAAATGAAGAAGCACATCATAGTTATACATCAGAAGTGACACAATGAGAAAGCAGTCACAAAGCAACAATTCTCATCTAACATGCTGCAACCACACAACAGAATCCAGTCAAAATTCCCTGTGGTACTACCAAGGCATATTTACTGTGCTACCAATCTTCAGGATCCTTTTCTCCTCAGTTTCTGATGATCCACCAAAAGTCTCTGCTGATACACCTATAAATGATAATTGGCTGTTCCAGAGTACTTAAGAAGGCTCATTTTTAATTTAAAGCTAAACTGCCAGCTTAGTAAATTTAATCTATCTGAGAACTCCCCAGTTTTTCACTGATTTATAAACAGTAAAACTTCAGATATGACAGGAGCTAAACTGAACTGGATTAAAATGCACCTTTCAAACTATCAACCTTCAGGTTGGGGATTAAGTAATGAAGGGGATTAAGTTGTAAAGAGCAGGATTCAGTGGATTTCAGATACCTGTTATCAGTGTAACATGACATCATCCAGCACTAAGGGGTTCTCAAGTCACTAAAAAGCTCAATCAAGTCCTGTTCTTCCCAATTCTGAAACAGGACTCCTATACTCACATGAAATGTTTGAAGATACTCATTCTCTGTGAAATTGTCTTTAATGCAACAGCAACCAAAGGAAAACACGAAATCTGGGCATTAAGTATCCCCTTCATTCTGGAACAATGATTTTAAAACTAGAAAAAGATGTAAAACTGGTGAAGTACCGAACAGTAAAACCACAGCTCGCTGTGCTTCCAGGCAAAACTGAAGGGATGCAGATAACGCGTGTGCCTGCTGCCATCTCCTGGTAGTTCGGAGGTAAAACAGTCACAAATATTAACTTTTTTGCCTTCAGAAAAATGTCAGGTCTTCTAAGGAAGACCTTCCCCCAAAACCGAAAATACACTATTTAACATTCAACAGAAGGAGCTTTCAAAACTCTCAATATCGACAAGAATTTATTTCCCTGTACAAGGCAGCCACCACCTGGACATAGCTACTTTCAAGCTAAATGGAGTTCTAATATTGGCTTAAGTAAAGAAACATCAAAGCTCCTTCATTTTCTAAAAGAAATAAGTACTCACCAGAGTTATTCTAATTTCAAAACACATTCAGAAAATTAACTGTAAAAATTTCCACATGGCATTGAAAACCAAAGGAATTCCCTTTGGGAAGCCTGCTCATCATATCAAAAGTTATAGTGGAGATTATCTGCCCATACTGGCTCATTTTAATATCCATTTCTTTTCATGAATACTTAAAGTTCAAGACAGTCTTTCACTGTTGCACTACTCTCATTGCCTTTGATGAAGAGCACAGCATTGCTATTTGTAATAATATGCCATGTTTTATACTTTCAGAATAGGATTAGCCAACTTGGACAGAAATTTTGACAGCTGACAGGAGGCACCTGTACTTATCCTGCAAACTTTAGTGCTCCAAAGACTGTTGAAATTTTCATTTCACGTGCTATTTTGCTATGCTGGAGGGAGGAGACCTGTCCACATCCTCCTGAAGGTTAAAAAATAATTAAATAATGGGAATGAACTCTGCAAGTGGATTATGTCTTCTAGTGTGCTGAATGACTATGGGAATGTGACCTGGCTTGCCTTAAAAAAAAAAAATGAAGGCATACCAGTGATTTGGATTGCCCGTGGTTCACTGACAACTGCCATGGGGAAACAATCATTAAATGTTGCAGAAAAGCCAAGCTAAATACAGAACATTTCCCTTCACAGAACGAGAATCAAAAAGGTTGTGTCATAACAACAAGCTGTAATTGAGAAACTGAACAATGACTGAAGAGTTGTAAGAGACCTAAATTAAATCCAACTGAGATTTCATATTCCTTATGAAAATGAAGGTTTTATCATGAGATAATTAAAGCAAGGACAGCCAACTCCTGGTGTGCCAGAATGTGTAACTTAGCTTGTCATCCTGGTTCGTGAGAGTCCCTGGGAGCTGGGCAGGAAGCAGCCAGTCACAAATCAGCCACTCACCCACAGCAGAGCTGCAGAACCCTCCTCCTGCTGGACATTCCCTAAACACAAACCACGGGCACGGAGCATGCTCAGGAACACGAGGAACGACTTGTGTGCATGTCCCCATCACACCTGGCCAGGCCACGGTCAGGTGGCAACTGCAGCTTAGATACAGCACAGACAAAATGCAAAGGCTTTGGAGACTTTTTATGGGAGAGAAGGGAGCACATGAGGGCAGAAAGTGGTGCTAATCCCAGCACCAGGGAGAGAAAAGTGACCCAAAACTCTGAAATGGCATGTGCAGGAAGCTTAGAGTTCTAACAGAGGTCACCAGCCACTCTCGGTGCCTGCCAGGTGAATCTTGTTGGAAGTAAAGAAGCGATTAAGTGTGTAACTGATAAGCATATGCAGCTGTGTGTGTGCAAACCATCCAAACTGAGACACAGTGAAATTATCTCTGTGAAACATGAAACACCTGGATTCCTTTCTTCTGTCTGGTTTTAACAGGAAAACAGCTAGAGGAGAAAAATGCTAAATAATAATCGAAAGCTCTTCTATTCTTGCCTGGTCTCACACTTGCAAGATCTTTTATTTATCACAGAAATGAGCAGCTCTCCAAAAACAAAATGGACAAGAAGCCAAGTGTAAAAAAAAACCCCAGAGGACTGAGACCATTTTGGGATAAATAAGTAAGAGCACCACAGTACATAATGTTTTAAGCAAAACAGCTGATATTCACAGCAATCCAATTTCTAAAAGTTAGGCTTTGGATGAAAAATGCTTCCATTATCACAACCTTGGAAATATGCCACTCTTTACTCAGAAAATATTTCATTCAGACTTATGTATAACACAATCACTAGTGAATAAAATCCAGAATAAATTTCCCCTGGTAAAATTAAATTATTCAGACTCTTTCAGAACTTCAGCACATGACTTCCGGACGATACCATTTGTTTTAATCACAGCAGCCTGAACCCTGAGGCAAACCATACTTCCTCTTGGATCAAAACTGGAACCAAGAGAAAGCCCAAGCTTTGAGAAACCCAAGCTTTTGAGAACAAGTGTTTTATTACAATAAAATAAGCAATCACACCATCAATTCACTCTCTTAGCAGCTGGCCCACTGTACTGTGTAATGACCACATGTTTTTTATCCTCAATATAAACATTTCTGTTTCGAATGCAACTTCATTTCAAGACTGTTCAATTTGTTTCTTTCAAGGGCAATATGGGTATCTAACACAGGTACACTTTAAATGATAATATCAAATAATGCTTTGGAAAAATCACATTCAGGGAATTATTTCGTTTGCAGCTCTTCTGTGTCCAGCAAATCTATTCATTTTCATTGTCTTGCCTGTAACTGATTTTATCCGGTAATTAGCTGGCCACCTTGTTACTATTCCAGCACACTGTAAATTCCCCTCTTCATATGACGAACATACTTCAACATTTACTTGTTTTGCTCAGCCTCTCTTACCTGTTAACCTCTGCCAGAGCTTCCTCCAGTTGATGGCCACTGCTACTTGCAACATCTTCCATGGTCTCCCTGCAGTAACAGGACTGAAGTTGTTTGACCAGGCAGCAAATTCCCTTCGCCAAGGCAGCCCAGCAACCCAAATGCCTCTTAACCTCCTTTTTCTTTTTTTTTATTTTCTGGAGTTATTATGGATTGAAGGAAAAATTGTTTATCTTGCTTTCCCACGTTCTCCCCACCTGCCTCTTCGCAGTGCTTGCAGCATTTTATTTGCATTTGGAACAGCTACCGCATGACTTACGCCATGACTTACAACAAATCATAAGTGAAGCATTTGCTCAATTCATACCTGGAAAGTACCATTTTTAGGTTCACAAGGTCGAATGCACCAAGGCAAAGGCTGACACCCAACTTCCCACAGCATTCCCACGCCAGAGCCCCTCACTCGCTCCGCGCTGCCCTCAGCCTCGCCCACAGACGCATCGGCACCGATGGGACGGGGAGTTGAACATGGCCGGAAAAAAACCCAACTTTTTTTCCCCACGAGGCAGCCAGGGGAGCCCGCGGCCCGTTTTCCATGGATAAGGGGCACGGGGAATGGCCATTCTCAGAGGGGAGGCCGCGGGGGCTACTCCTGAGGCGGCGCGCGCCGCCCTCAGCGCGGCCGCGCGGCCGGGGAGGGGCGGGGCCG